CTCTGAAATCGGGAGCCTTCTGTCTCCCTCGAGCATCCCTCCGGCCCGGGGCGCGGCGCGTCCCTCCGTGCCGGGACTCGGGGATCGGGCCCAGGAGAGCTCCGGGAAGAGCAGCGGGAGCTTCAGGCTCACCTCGGCTCGGGTGAACCCAGTTAGTGATGGGGAAAACCCGCCTCAGTATCCCCGGCCTCGCATTCCCTTTGGCCGCGGGGTCCGGGCGGATTTCCCTTCGCATCCCTGTGCCGAGCTCCCGGCGGGTGCAAAATCTGAGCTCCTACCCCTGAACTGTATGTGGACTTCTATAACCAGAGATATTTTTTTCTGTCTATGCGTGCACGGGAGCACATAGACATGAACAAGCACGTGCGCGTGTGTTTCCTCTGGGTGTGTGTTGTGTGTTTTCCGTGGGCTGTGGAAAAAAATGCAACCCACCGCTATGGAAGGAAAGTAGGAATAAACACACCCATAAAAAGAAACTGAACGCCTATTTTTACCTTCTTAATTATTAGTGAAATGCATATGCCTTGGCTACCGATTTTTAAAGGTGCTTGATTTATGGAAGCACTTCGGGTTTAATTCGGTTGGATGCTCTTGATTAAACCAGATAGCCAGAGCTGCGTGTTTCTGTTCACAGGCGGGCTATGTCTGCTGGTAGGTGACCAAGAGCTTGTAACAAAAAAAAATGGCAGTGCCATTTTATTATTAAAAAAAAAAACAAAACAGGAGGAAGGAGTCGTAATAAATAAATAAATACACCCTTTTAATATAAGCGTAGCCATATTTTTCTCAAAACCGTAGGAAATTACTATCCTACAAAGTTTTCCTTCTATAAATAGTTCAAATCTTGAAACAAAAGTTTTCAACCGCACACCAGATGCTGGGATGCTCGCGGTTTCCCTTGCTGTGTGACATAATTATAAGGTCCGAAAGCAAAAGCTATAGAAGTATAATAATAATACTAAGGCGACTGCTGAGGGGAAATACAAGGGAAGCAATGCTTGCTTTATTTAGAGCGAACTGCTTGGGGATCTTTTGAGCGCTGCCCCGCGACAATGAGGAGTTGTTGCGGAAAAAAGAAACGCTCCCTCGCCATTCCCTGCACCATCCCCAGTTCATCCCCTCAGCGGCAGGTCACTGGGAGCTGGACCCGCGGAGCCGGAGCCCCAGCGACTATTACAGTCCAGCAGAGCAGAAGGGAAAGGGATCAGGAGGTGAAACCCAACAAAGCGCAGTCCCAAAGAGACGCGCACCTCCCTCCATCCATCACTCCGGAGGGACGGAGCCGGTTGCCTCGTCGGGCAGACAGCAGCGTGCCCGGGGCCGGAGGGAAGAGCTGCCCGGCCCCTCTTTGCCCCAAGCTCTTTGCCATCCCCTGCCTCAGCCCCCGGCCGGGCTCGCTGCGTCTCAGCTGGGCAGCCCCTTTCACCCCCGTAAGCGGGGAGCAGCAGCGGGGGGAGCTGGGCACGCTGTGATGCTTTGCCTCGCTCCCGTCTCAGAGTTGAAAGAAAGAGGAGTTATTTCAGTTCTTAATGGATAGTAGCCTAGCGAACTTGTGGTGTTTATCTTGTGGGTAAATATACTTCTCTGGCTTACTAATGGTAGCTTTTAAAGATTAAAGCATAGTAGAGCCTGTTCGAGCATTATCTTCTGGTGCCCGTTTCTGCTACCCTCACTCTCTGGAGGGGAAGATGCTTCCCAAGCTGCTATTAACTGAGCTCTCATGCACTGTCAATGGTTACATAATTTTTGCCTGTGATCTCCACCATCTTTTGACTATGGGAACAACTCCTTGGCCTCGGCGTTGCTGGTCCTTCAGGGATAAAGATGAACCCATGTTCAAGGGGCAAGACGTAGTGGATAAGCAAACCACGTGTAGGGTGTCTGTGCTCTGCCTGTCTTGGTGTGTGTGCGAGGCAGGCTGAGGTGGGGGTGACATATGATGCAGCTCATTTATTCTGCTGGAAAAGCTGTAAAGCAAAAATCCCATTGCTATGAATCGGGATTTATCAGAATGAAAAAGGCAATCATGAAATGAAATGTCATCTTCAAAACTGAAAAGGCACCAGGGCCTCCGTGTTTTGAGTGCTCCAGCTGGGAAGAAAGTTGTAATGTCCTACATTACAAATTTGTTTAAATAACCAACTTCTTTACCAAATTGATTTCTATATTGTAAGCATGCTATCTGATAAAGTAATCTTCTGTGGGCTGCTTGCATACTAACCTTGGGCCCCCTGAGACACTGCAAACATTTTTACAACCAGAAGCAATTAGTGTCTGACTTTTTGAAAAAGAAAACTGACTGCAGCTAGAATAGCTGGCAGTAGCATGATTGATGCATTTTAATGCTCTGGACATATTTTGGTAATCCAATTACATATTTAAAGTATAAAACTGACATTTAATAATACCGATGTAATTAGTATAAATGTCTAAAAAACAGGATTATGTATAATACTTTTTGGCACTGTTTCTTGCAGTGTGTGTTTGACTGCATGTGTATCTATACACTTACACATATTTAGCTTCTTGGAAAGGTGGTGGTGAGAGTCTAACTTTCCATTTGTGTACTCCTTCCACTGTTCACCTTCTTTAGGGTTGGATGCATTCACCAGCAACATGAGAGTAGGTTGTTAAGAAGCTTATTTCAGAGATTATCTGCTGGTACCTAGACAGAGATGATTCAGTTACTTGCTATAAAGCCATTGGGAATAACTCGTAAGAGAGAGTGTGTGTGTATGTGGTAACAGCAGCATAAATCTTCAAATCAGCAACAGATTTTAAGATCATAATACAGCAAATAATTTGTATTAGTGAGTAGATATTACTGGCTGGTTAGGAAATGCAGAGGCAGAAAAATCCTCTGTGTGTCTTGCATCTGTTCTGCTGATGCTCCCATGTCCTTAGAATTCCACATCCTTTACAACAGGGCTTCTCCACACTGGTGGGAAGTAGGTTAGAAGAAATGCATATTTGTCATATGCCTGCAGGAAAGTACTCATGCTTAATCCCTAAAGATTAGGATTGCTGTGGACAGGCCCTGAGATTTGTCTCTTTGCTTGTGCAGAGCCGGAGGGAGCTACACAAGCAGAGAACAGCCAGTCTGCTCTTTGGTGCAGACCCTTCCAGAGGACAGCAGGCATGGCAATCAGCATGACTGTTGCTCCCACATTACCTGAAATAGTCAGGGCTACAAAATCTGGCCCACTCTTCCCATCCTGGTTAGATTAGGACTGTATTGACCTCTGTGATAAAACTGGCTGTTATGTGAACAGGATTATCCCTGGCTCAGTCACTGGGAAATCCATCATTCCCTATCCATCATTCTGCACCTTATTTACCCTATAACTGACACTGCACACTCTTTAGGGCAAGCTTGCTCTCCCAACCTCTATTTGTGCAGTGTCCTGTGCCTGAGGAGAGCTCTGCTGAGATCCTTAGGATACTCCTGTTACATTGTACTGTAATAATAGTAATATATAAAAGTATTTGGAATAGGTCCTCGACTTTACTATGTCTACACAGACATGTGTTGGCTTAGAGACAGAAGAGGTGACCCTTCAGAAGATATCAACTAATTTCAGGATCACCTAAAGCTAATGCTTTTGCTCAGCAGAAACAAGAAAGATAAAGAATATTTGCATGCTGGGCTGCCATAATCACTATGAAGTTCGCTTACCTGCCTGACACAGGTTATTTCCATGTACTGAAGCTACACACAAAGATGGAGAGTGTGATACAACTTCTTGGCACCTCTGGAAGATAAAGTCCACCATTTTTCTGATACTAAAATTTCCTGTCCAAAACCACAGAGGTTTGGTAAAACTATGACTGGACACCCCTCTCTCAGATGTTGTCTAGGCCAGGCATCCAAGTTCTGAGTATCCTTGAATCCAATGCATTTGGAGGTGGGCACCTCTCTCAATACCTTGTGGCAAGCAGATTCTGAGAATTAGACCTCTAGCACACCTTAAAATGGAAAAAAAAAAAAAAAAAAAAAAAAAAAAAAAAAAAAAAAAAAAAAG